AAACATAGTGAAATAACATGTGTTCTCAGTGCAAATTTTTGAAATTTTAAACGTGAATATTTTAAAAAATATTAGTAATTTTTATCTAATTTTTGGATGTTCCTAATCTGGAGAAGCTCCCCTATCCGTACATACCCCATTTCTATGGAAATTCGGTTTTTTTACCCCTCCGCCAAAGTAATCGGAATCGTGCCTGAGTAAAACATGCTCTCTTATTTTTATTGGGATAGCTCACATGTGCCCCCATATATGCGGTACGAAGTCACCCGGACCTAGCGCTCATATAAGTAATATCAGGATTTTCGAACATCCGGTTGGTGATGGTATGTGAGGTATCCTAATGAAACCCGGTGAACATTTTTTAGTATGATAATAGTTAATAGATAAAATCGTGTACATGCTCCCATATACTACACACATATAAAGATTTTTGTTTTTCTAACAGACCTTGTGCCGAATACGTCAGTCAGTGTATAAGTTATATACAGTATATGTATATTAAAAATTTCTTAGATTCTGATCCCTTGGTTGAATTTTAACATCTTAAGTATATTCCTGGCTTGTTTTAGTTATCTTTTTTAAAATTCAAAACTCATTTGTTTATCCCGTTTCGGCTGTGCCTTGAAATAGTGCCAGAAGACGTTTTTTTAATTTATTTGTTTCCGCTGATTTAAAATCTATAATTTTTAATAAAATAATCAATAACAAGAAAAGACTAAATTCGGGTGCAACCGAACATTTTATACTATTGCAACTTACAAGAATCAAAGCCGGGAAAATACTTTATAGTGCAAAACTCAAACTGAGGATCGAAATTCTTCAATTTTATATGTTCAATTACTATATACGTATAACTTCTACACTGACAGGTTTTTTTAGAAAAATGAAATCGTCAACTTAAATACAAAATCCCGTTTGTGATCAGAAATATCCAAGTTATATTAAAAAAACGTATCATCAAATGCTTGATTTCGTGAAACAAAATAAGGTATCATCACTCATGTAAAAATAAAAGAGTATTTGTTTTTTTTTATCACGAAGCTGGTCTTGATTTATTGTTTATGCTTTTTTTTATTGGTTATGTTCAATGTGCTGTGGTTAGGTTAGGTTTAATGGCTGATCAAAGACCGCAAGTTGTTGTTGTTGTTTTAACGGTTATCAGTCCCCGTTGGCATGGTGAGGGTTATCAGTGTTGTCGTCGATGTCATCTAACGGGAGGCCCACTTGCTGTTTCGACGGGGTCGTAGGGAAAAGGGTGTTAGATGGGTGGGGTTGGTTGGGCATGCATAGAGGTGGTCAGTGTCATGCGGAGACTCATTGCATGCAGGACATACGTTGGGTATGTCAGGGTCTATTCTGGATAAGTAGGAGTTTAACCTGCTACAATATCCAGAACGAAGTTGCGCAAGGGTCACTCGCGTTTCTCGCGGCAACTCGAGCTCTTCGTCTGCTATGGGTGGYGMTTTGMCTCCAAGTASGCCATTCACGGGGAGGGAGTCGGTGAAGGTGTTGATGGTTCCACTGTGAATGGCGGTCAGTGCCTGTCGGAAGTCTGTTGCGTCCGAGTCCTGTCGGCGTATTGTTCGATGTCGTCGACGTGATCAAGGAATGACCTCTTGATGCTCCTAGGAGGCGTTTCCGCTCCAATCAGATGACTGCATGGATGATTTCTACGAAAACATCCTAGCAGGAACTGCTTGGAGAGGAGTTCATTATGCTCCTTAACTGGGAGCATAAGCGTCTCACTATGTAGGTGTTCGATGGGAGACATCAAGAGGCATCCCGTCGTGGTCCGGAGTGCTGTATTCTGGCAGGTCTGKRGTKTCCTCATCTGCGTGCCACTGCATCCAGGCGACTATATGGGTGCTGCATAGTTAAGGACCGGCCGGCCGATTGCGTTGTAAGATGCCAACAACGTTTCTTTGTCTTTTCCCCATGTGCTGCCGGCTAGCGGATTTTGTTGCGGCTCTGTGGAGAGAAGGAGCATAGACTGTCGAAAGTGACACCTAAAATCTTAGGGTAATTGACAGTTGGAATTTTGACGCCGTCGACTGCAATATTAAGTTCCAGTCTATACTCCTTCGTCCAGTTCGTGAATATGGTCGCTGTGGATTTGGTAGGGGAAAGTTAGAGGGTTTGTGCAGTGAGGAAACAAGAAAATAGGAGAGGAGGAGAAAGAAGGAGAGGTAGATAGGTAGAACACATGCCATCGATTCCATTTCCCGACGTCAATATCGTACAGTCATCAAAGTAAGAGGTTATGGAAACTCCCTCTGGTGGTTGCGGGAGTTTCGAGATGTAGAAGTTAAACAGTAGCGGGGAGAGGACATCACCCTGCGGAACCCCCTGTTTAATTCTTCTCAGTTTAGATGTTGCACCACGAAATAGTACGGATGACTGACGACCGTTCAGATAGTT